ATCTGTTCTATGCAGGATTGGATGTCCAAGCAGCAGATTGGGATTGGTAGTAAAGTTAGAGACCTCTATGTGGTGGAAAGCTTGCATCTGCCTATGACTACCTCTCCAATTGCCTTTTCCTCTTTTCAGTTAGATTTTTTGTCCAGTCCTTTCTACTTTTGGCATTCTAGATTAGGACATTTGTCTGTTGACCGTTTACGGTCTTTAGCTCAGTCTGGTATATTAGGTAAAGTTTCTTCTAGTGAACTTACTGAGTGTCGGGGGTATAAACTTGCCAAAATAACAGCCTTACCTTTTCGTAAAAGTGCTTCTACATCTGATACACCATTTTCTTTAGTTCATACTGATGTTTGGGACCCTTCTCCTATTCTCACCAAAAGGGGTTCTGCATACTATGTGTCATTTGTTGATGACTGCACCCGTTGCACTTGGGTTTATCTTATGACTCATAAGTCTGATTTTTATCGGATACACCGTACCTTTCAGTCTATGATCACTACTCATTTTGGGTCTAAAATTAAAGTGCTATGGACTTGGGTGGGAAATATTTTAAAACAAAGTTCTGTGAGTATTTGGCCAATTTTTGTACCATTCACCAAACTTCCTGTACCGATACACCAGCCCAAAATGGTCGAGTTGAGCATAAACATCATCATCTCCTTGAAACAGCTCGGTCCTTTCTTCTGTCTGCCTCATTTACGACTCCGTTTTAGGAGGAGGCAGTTCTTACAGCTGCTTTTCTTCTTAATCCCATGCCTACTCTTATTCTTTTTGATCGGTCTCCTTATGAGACTTTCTTCTCTCAAATTTCTAATTACTCCCTCCTCCGTGTGTTTGGAACTACTTGTTTTGTCTTTCTTCCTCGTAAAGATCAGACCAAACTCAGTGTCCGGTCTGTTCTATGTATCTTTTTGGATTATAGTCTTACTCAAAAATGTTATCAGTGTTACGACCCTATTTCCCGTCGTCTTTATGTCTCTTGTCATGTTTCTTTTCTCGAACGTTTGCCTTACTTTCAGCTTTCTCCTCTTACTGCTCCAGTTCCAAAAGAGGATTCGGTTCACATTGATCCATTTCCCTCTGAGGTCCCTCCTAATGAGTACATCTCTACTATTCCTCATAAACTTGTTCCCTCTTCTCCCCCTATTACCCCTCCTGATGAGTCCCTCTTCACTGACCCATATGAGCCTATTTTCTCTTCTTCTTCTATTACCCTTCCTGATGAGTTCCTCTCCACTGACCCCCATGAATCTGTTCCTTGTTCTCATCCTCCTTCCTTGCCTGCTCCTTCTCCTCCTCCGTTATTAGTCTATTCTCATCGCAAGGCTCTTCCTCCACCAGTTGTCTCTACCCCCGTTGCTGATCCTCTTGCTTCTAACGACTCTGATCTTGCTAACAGTAAGTATCCCTTTCGCATCCGTAAACAGGTTATAAAACTTAATTTTGTTAAAACATGTTTTTCTCCTTCATATTGTACATTTTTGTCTGTTATTCACTCTTTTTCAAAACTTCAGTCTTACAAGGAGGCTTGTCATGATCCTCATTGGATTCGAGTTATGGAGGATAAGTTGTCTGCTTTACAGAAAACTAGTACTAGGGAGTTGGTTTCTTTGCCTGCATGTAAGAATCTGGTTGGTTGCAAATGGGTCTACAAAGTCAAGACTCATTCTGATGGTTCTCTTGAGCGCTACAAAGCTCGTCTGGTTGCCAAAGGTTTTTCACAGGAGTATGGTATTGATTATGAGGAAACTTTTGCCCCTATTGCCAAATGATTACTGTCCATACTTTAATCTCTGTCGCTACTGTTTATCATTGCCATTGGCCTCTTCATTAGATGGATGTTAAGAATGTTTTTCTTAATGGTCATCTGACTGAGGAGGTTTACATGGGTACTCTAATTGGCCTTCACCATTCCTCTGGACAGGTTTGTTGTCTTCGTCGTGCTCTATATGGTCTGAAACAACCTCCTCGTGCTTGGTATGATTGCTTTGAGACTGCTGTTACTGAGCTTGAGTTTCATACTTGTGCCCAAGACTTTGCTTTGTTTCTTCTCCACACCTCTGTTGGATTTGTTACCTCATTACTATGTGAATGATATGATCATCACTAGTTCTGACTCGTTTGTTATCTCTGAGGTCGAGCAACATCTTTTCTACACCTTTGAAATGAAGGATCTGGACCCATTGCGGTATTTTCTTGGTATTGAAATAGCTTCTTCTCCCAAGGGCTACTTTCTGTTTCAACCCAAGTATGCCAATAAGGTTATTCATCATGTCGGTCTTACTAACACGAAGACTTCTGAGACTTCTGATACCCCCATTGAGCTTAATGTGAAGCTCAACACTATTGATGGTGTTCCTCTGAATGATCTTACATTATATTGAGTGCTTGTGAGTTGCTTGATCTATCTGACTGTAACTCATACTGATCTTGCCTATGTTGTTCATGTGATTAGCCAGTTTGTTTCTGCTCCTCGCTTCACACATTGGGCTGCATTAGTTCGGATTCTTCGCTATCTCCAAGGTACTATATTTCAGGGTTCACTATTGTCCTCCACTTCTTCTTTGGACTTGGTGGCCTATGTTGATTATGATTGAGCTGATGATGTGACTAATTGCATGTCAATGTCTGGTTTCTGTATGTTTCTTGGCAATTCCTTGATTTCTTGGAAAAGCAAGAAACAATCTGTTATTGCTTGCTCTACTGCCAAAGGTGAGTATCGTGCTATGACTCATGCTACTGCTAAGATTATTTGGCTTCGTTGTCTCTTGTCTGATTTGGGTGTCCCGCGATCTTCTCCAACCTCTCTCTACTGTGACAACCACAGTGCTATTCAGATTGCCCACAACACTGTCTTCTATGAGCAGACGAAGCATATTGAAATTGATTGTCACTTTGTCTGACAGCATCTGCAGTCTGACTCTATTTCGCTTTCTTTCGTCTCTTTGGCTCTACAACTTGCCGACTTCTTTACTAACACTTACACCATCGCTCGGTTTCAATTTCTTCTTGGCAAACTCTCGGTGTTGTCTGCTAGAACACCTTGAGTTTGAACGAGAGTGTGAGAATATTCGGCTTTATGTATATATGGTAGTCTATATATTTTGTATATATTAGGGATTGAGTAGATATTCTTCTTTCCTTTTTCAGTTTTAGGTTAGATCGTTATATAAAGAGATGTGCTCTTGTATTACAAACACAATTAAACATACAGAAATCATTGAAAAATCTTACACAACCAACATGACAGTCGCAAGTAAATTCAACTCTCGCTCAACAAACCTTTGTCTCAATTACTTGAGGTCGCCGGTTACATGGATCCACTTTCTTTAATTAGCTCTATTTGTAGTCGTATCATACATTGAGTCTATGTTACATGGCCTCTTCCAAATTGTGAAGTAGCAGTGTCAAACACGTAACAATTGGGTAAGGGTATGGGATGTGTTTGATATGTCTAGTTGGACAGGCACACAAGAAGTATGTACAAATAGTAGAGTTTGATATATAAACCATGCATAAAACTTCTATTTTAAGATAAAATGTGATATTTTAATTTGTAAACCTCATTTTTCCCTGAAAAAATAAAATTATTTAAGAAATATGTAATGTAGTTGTGTCCTGGTGTGCTGGACCTGAGAATTAGATGAGTCTGATACTTCAACACATACTAGTCCGACACTAGTCGCAGCTCTATCATATATGTTTTTAATTATCAAACTAATACTATTTGTTTTCGAAAACTCTCCACATTATTTCTCTAGGAACCCTATCATATGATTTTACGTTAATAAAAAAAACTATATAAATGTCTATTCTTCTCAATAAATTTTTCAATTAGTTGCCTAAGTATAATAGTACCTTCCACACTAGATTCCCCAAGCATAAAACCAATTTGCATTTCTAAAATTGTTGTCTCATGTATTTGCTCAATTACTTTGTTTTAAAATTTTATTGTATGAATTATAAGTTTAATATCATGATAACTAGTGCATTTTTTTTTTTAATTATACATTGGAACAAACATACTTTTCCTCTATTCACCAGACATTTTTGCAGAATTTAAGATCTTGGAAAACAAATTATTCAACCAAACTGGCCCTTCATCAGCCAAACACTTCCAAACTTGAATACGGATTCCATCTGGTCTACAACCTTTCCCACTTTCATCTTCTTCATAGCTTCCTTTACTTTCACTGCTGTGAAAGAATTTATAGTTAGTCTTACTACTAGAGTAATCAAGTTTTCCTAGACTCAAGTTTCTTGAGTGATTTAAGTTTCTTGAGTGATTTTCATCATAAATATAGCTTTTCAAAATAACTATTTCACTGTTTCTTTATCTCATGTTCCTTAACTAGCAGTCTCCCATGTTAAAACACCTACACTGGAAGAACAAATATTAATCAACCATGGAAGAAGAAAGCTACATGTGGCACACTTTTAATTGTTCAAGTTAAATCAAAGCTACATGTGTAGTTTAAAACAAAGACCGAAGAAACTCTAAGGTCCTACTATTATTTATTTGTTTTCAGAAATATTAGAACATCTGAACATCTAAACTGTTTCTAGGATATGGAATCAATGAGAATGTTTCAGCATGTTAAAATTCATTGACATTAAATCTCAATCAACCTGTAATGCACATTGCTCTGTGCCAGTACAATGATGTATATTATTCTCCGTGTGGCAATACAGTAACTATGAAATCTCAAGCAATAGTGTTCCAACAATCATAGCATCTATGGTTCTAAGGTCCAAAATGACAGCAAGGATCCAAGTATCCTTCCTGAGTTGCTGATAGTCCTGAGGGCAATGACTCATACCACAAAACACAAAGCAGCAAGTATAATTTGTAAATTCCACAATCTATGATGTCGCTACAAGAATGAAATTATTATTGGAATAGGATAAGGGTCATCATTATGCCATGTTCCAAATGAACTCAAGAAAGTTTGTTCTCTTGTCAATCGTAGACTATTTGAACAGAGTAGCAAATAAAGAGAAGTATAATCATTGACACAACACATATTTAAGGACTTGAACAGCTTCCAACCTGATCAACCCAATCCCAGATAAAGCCTCCTTGGAGACCAAATGTACTATCAATTGCTTCCCAGTACTCCTTAATATTCCCACTGCTGTTCCCCATGGCATGTGAATACCTACCAGGTGTTCACCAAGTATTCTTGAGTATATATCAGATGACATCATTGAAAGGAACTAATACACAGTTGTAATTTTGTCATAAAAATAAGAACAATGAAAAGAGGACCATACTCGCACAATATCAAAGGTCGTGTTTCTGTGGGATCCATGGCAATCTTCACTATGTCCCAAACACGCATATACATGGGGCATACAATATCAGTTGACGGTGTTCTGGATCCACCACCTTCATAGTGTAACAGCCTTGATGGATCCTTTCCCCTAACCCAACCTGAATTTTTTCTAAACCAATAAGTGACTACAGAAAAGAAAGAAACTATGTTCTTCAAAGCAATTTCAAGCAATTGCAAAGATTATGCAATTTAGTCTAAATATTTGGGAAGATTGACCTGTACCTGACTTATTGGCAAACATAAAAAATGTAATTTGACATGAATCACTTAGTAAGATCCCCAACATTGTGCACAGGCTGAATCGAACTGTGAAACTAACGAATTATACTTAGAGTTATGCTAGGAACCCCAAACAAATTACCAAATCTCTTACATGAGTCTGGGATCCACACAAATCACATGTGTGTGGGTCCCACACCCATCTGAGAGGTTTGGTAATTTATTTGGTAATTTGTTTGGGATTTATAGCATTTTCCTTATATGAGTTCAATACCTTCCCTCTAACTCACACTGCTCCAGTTAACTAAGGTTCAGCACTAATAACTACCTATAGGTCCTAATAGTTGGACTTAATTCCCATTAAGTCATATTGAAACTAAGTCGTAATAAAATTGTCGCTAAATATAAATTTTTGTGACGATTTTTTTGCATGTCGCTAAAAATTGACAATTAGTGACTTTTTTTTGTCACAATTTTTATAAATTATCGCTAAAACTTACAATTAGTGACTTTTTTGTCGCGATTTTTTCAAACTGTCGTTGAAAGTTAAAAATTAGCAACTTTTTTTGTGACGATTTTTTTAAACTGTCACTAAAACTTATAATTAGTAATATTTTTTGTGACAATTTTCAAGCCGTCACTGAAAATCAACAATTAGTGACGTTTTTTAATAGTGTTTGATGAAAAACGCTATTAATTCTCACAGGACCTATTGGACGGTAAGTCCACCTATTAGGACCTATATGCAAGTCCCCTAAACTATTACCTACTAGGCTACTATTTTCCGTAATATTTTCTCTTCAATTTTAGAGCTCTCTGAATGATTCTGAAAGCCCACATCTGTGACTATGAATTAAATTTTAATGAATGAATAGTTTTAACAGCCAGCCAGCCAGCCACATCTATAAACTAGTCTGCTACCTAGAAGGTTGAATATCGTTTCTGCACAAGATACATAAAGGTGAAATTGAAGTGTTCGGTCATGTAATTTTGATAAAATACTTCACCAAAAATATATAACACAAGGCCATACTGCCTGACCAAGTAATGTTGCTTCAAATAATACACAAATCAGCAAATAAAATTAATATTAACAATTTAGTGGTTATTACTTCATGAAGTTGCTTCCAAACTTGACCAAAACAAAATTAAAGTAACATAAAATATAAAATATGATACCAGCAAGAGCAGCATGATTAGGTCCATAGCTTGCTTCATTTCCTAACGACCAAGAAATTATGCACGCATGATTTTTGTCCCTCTCCACCATCCCTATTACACGATCCAACATAGAACAAGCCCAAATTGGTTCCTGTGTTGGATGCTTTACATGTCCAGAAAGATCAAAACCATGTGTCTCGATATTGGCTTCATCTATCATGTACATGCCAAACAAATCACACAACTCATACCATCGTGGATGTTGGGGATAATGGCTGTTTCTGACAGCATTAATATTGTTTTGCTTCATTAGAACCAAATCCTACAAACAAAAGGAAATTTGTTTAATAATAATAAACGATCATGAAGATATCACATGTCAAATAGCACCATTTTAGCCGGCTACATAAATCAAGTAGCATTTAGGCTCCGTTTGTTTAGGATGAAAGTGATAGAAAGTGAAGGAAAGAAAAAAATATTTATATACATATATATAGCTTTTTAAGAGTTTGTTTAGCATGAAGGTGATGGAAAGTACAAGTTAGTTAATTTTCTTGTACAACCCTTATTAGAATGTAACTAACTTTCTAATTTCTTGCAAATTACACAAGAAAACACAAGAAAATGTGAATGTGTCTGTAGGAGTTACTTATAACTAAAATTTCAAAATTTTCTGTCTTTCCCTTGCAGAATTCTCATCTTAATCAAATGCTTGCAAGAAAATATATTTTCTTTTTTATTTTTCTCACTTCCACTTTCTGTCAAATTTTCTTTATAATCAAACAGAGCCTTAGAGACCGATTGTAGCTAAGAAGAACAAAATTAAGTGTTACCTTAACCATGCAGGGCTCCAAGTTTGTCTTCCCAAGACGTGGATGGTGTTCATGTCTGTTTACCCCTCTTATTATTACTGGATGCCCATTTACAAGAAGCTGTTTTGGAGCCTTCGATATTTGTCGAATTCCTACTTGGCATGATTCACAATCAACTACATGCCCTGATGCATCTTTGAGGATGATTACAAGAGTGTATAGGTTTGGCTGCCATTTAACGCAAACATAAAAGTAAGAGATCAGAAGACAATGAATACGTGAACACCAACAGAAGGTCAGAAATTTTTGGAGGAAATATAAAAGATGAAGCTGATACTATAAAAGATGAAGCTGATGAAATGTAAGCAAAAGAAAAGCACATAAAAGCATCTCTAGTTGAAAAAACACGTTATATTGAAAATATGAAAATCATTCTCAACCCACAGCCTTTGGATTTCTTGAATGTGCATGGCAAAGTTTCAACCTTCTGAAAACTTAGGTTTCCCACTTACTATCATGGTTGCTGAATATCCAACTAGAAAACTACAAACTGCAAAAAGCATAAGATGCTTTGAGAAGAGACTCGAATCAATTTCACATCAGAGCATACAACTTCAATGAACCATTAAAAGTTAATCAAGGCAATGGTGTTAGGGAGCAATGGAAATTAGATATATTTGTAGTGATAAAAAATTTAAGAAGCATTTGGCTTTTTTTTTTCAAAAAACAGTTTTTTGAGTTTTCAATTCATATTCTCTTATTTTTGTGAACATTTTTAAAGTTTTATTCATTTTTTTTTTAAATATAAATAATTAAAATTAAAAAAAATAAAAATAAAAAACTTTTTGGATCCACATAATGTAGATACACTTAAAAAGTAAAAAATACTACAATGGTTGGAGAATATCCAACTAGAAAACTACAAACTGACAAAAAGCATAAGATGTTGTGACAAGAGACCCTAATCAATTGAATATCAGAGCAAACAACTTCAATGAACCATCAAAACTTCAAAAGTCACCCAAGGTAATGGTGCTAAGGAGGGTTGGAAATTAGATATATTTGGAGTGAAAAAAAAAACAAGAAGCATTTGGTTTTGATTTTTCAAAAATAGTTTTTTGAGTTTTCAATACGAATTCTCTTTATTTTTAGTGAACTTTTTAATATTTTATTCAATTTTTTATTTTACTTTTTAGATCCACTTAGTCTAGATATACTTAAAAAAAATAAAAATGGAAAAAAATCTTTAAAAAATTCAATAAATACAAAAACTACGAAAATATTTGAATTTTTGTATTTTTGTATTTTTTTGTTTTTAGTGAATTTTGAAAGATTGTCACAAATTTTGTACTTTCTAAGTGTAACTAAATAAAGTTGATCTAAAAACTAAAACATAAATAGAACTGATTACAATATTAAAAATGTTAACTAAAAATATATATATATGAATTGAAACCTGAAAAACTGTTTTTAAAAACTGAAAACCAGATAGAGTTACCTTTTTTTCTTTCTTTTCTATTGAGAGGGGCTCCTTTGTCACACTCAAATCCATTTCATTCTCAAAACACAATTTACAATAATAAGGGTAAAAAAGCCTCTCTGCAAAAGAAACTATTGGAGTCTTATTGATGAAGGCTCATTGTTAATTGCACATTTTAATTCTAATTAGAATTTTTACTAAACTCATAGAAAATGAATGATCATGTTTCTTATGCACCTAAACTATGATGATACATTACTTTAGTCTTAAATCATAGCCTGGTTTTCACATCTTAAGATAAATAACTAGGTAAATCTCAAAAACCAAAAGTTGTCAAAGTTAAATTATCTTAAACAGAGAAAAACTAGATCATCTCTACTTACATTCAGTCATAAAAGTTCCACCTTATGGGATTTGTCATCTTCGAGACTCTTCTCATATTACTAAACATTTGTTACGTTGTGTTCCCTTTTGTCTAAATAAGAAAGAAATTACTAATACAAAAGCACATATATCATTCACACTGCTTATTGGATGAAGCAATTGCAGATGGAAGAAAGAGAAGAATTTGCAAACTGAAAAGTACAGCAATTACAATTTACATTCGAATAATGCAGACAAATAATTTAAAACATTACACTACGTCACATATGTAATGTTGAACTATCTATTAAGAGTCATGCTCAGTAGTAATTGAAAAATGGATCTAGAATGAGATGAGATTCCTCACTTTCTCGGCAGACCAAAGCTTGGGCATTTGCAGCTTCCCTACAAGTAGATGCCCTTGAAATCCTAGACCTGCACCAGTGGATGGACAAAGCTCCAAATGAGCTACATGAGACGAAAGCAGATCAACATGTCCATCAGTGCTGTACCAATTCCCATTGTCATATACTGCAGCTTCAATAGTGAAGTTGGCAAGGATGCTGTCCTTTGATGTTTCCCATGAGTAATCAATTTTCACTTCAACCTGGATTGTGGAGAATTGAAAAGTAAATTGCATTTGTTTTTTTTGCCTAATATGCCTATGTTAAAAGTGAGGACAATGTAGCCATATCAAAGTATTTAACTTAAATACTTCAAATTATGACTTGGACTTGGTTCAATGTGTTATTTACTCCTGTATTGAATACATGCTTTAGGTATATTATGTTATGCAAGTTATGACAATATGCGCAAAATACTAATGATTGGCTGTCATGTACATTCCATGGACATTTACACGCCATGAACATACATCTTGAGTTTATGATTTGGGCATATGTATATAAGCATGAGTCATAAAATGTTAAAATACTTCCTTGTTTCCTCATTTAGATTAGATTGTTATTGATTGATTGATTGATTGTGATTCCTTAATCAGTCAATCAATCAATCAATATAAAAGATGATTCCTTAATCAGTGTCTTAGGGCTTCCTTTTGTAACAGTTGATTGATTAATATAAAAGGTTATATCATAATCATCACCCAAGTTTTGTATTCTCTTAAATTACATGGTATCAGAGCCAAAACCCTAAAAACCATCACCCACACAGCTGCTACTACCAATCAACCATCACCTATCACCACCCATCCTCCATTACTGGTCCCTGAGTCTCAGTCAAAACCAACCAAGGTCCCACATAGCTGTTTCGGCTTCAGCCGAAGGCCCCTCTGGCCTAGTCAACCCTTGTAAGGGCTGTCCTAGCCTCTCTTTATATATTTCTCCTCCTATTGATGAATGTTTGAGAGTTGCCCATCTTCTGTTGCCCCAAGTTTCTTTCCCTCTACTTTCTTGAATACAGTTCAACACTTGTTTTGAATGGAGGTTCGTTTTTCCGTATTTGATTTATTTTTTGGGTCCATAGATGACTCATTAATTTGATTGTTATGCTCCCACAGTGGTCTGTATGTAATTTTGCTTGTTCCAGCCCATTCCATTCCTCTTTCCATTCTTATGATTCGTGCAATGTTTTTTGGGTTAAAATTGTAGAGTTTTTATGACTGACCTAACTAGTGAATCCACCACTACTTCTCACCCATCTAAAGGGGAGATCTCCAATCCAGTTACGACTACTACATCTATGAACCTAAACCCCAGCCTCAAAATCACCACCACTCTGTTTAATGGTCAGAATTATCTTTCATGGTCACAGTGTCTGACACTTTCTCTAAAGAGAAGAGAGAAGATGAGATATGTTAATGGGAGAGTTCAAGCACCAGGTATCAAGGACCCTGGCTATGACAAATGAGAGATTACCAACTCTTTAATCACAGGGTGGCTCATTCATTCCATTGTTCCTGAGATTGGTGAATGTTACTTATCCATGGATACTGCCCAAGATATTTGGGAGGCAGTTACTGCTACATATTCTCGAAAAGAAAATTTTTCACAGTCTTCTGAGCTGCGCCGGTGTATTGAGTGGCGCCGGTCTATTGAGCGCTCAGTACAAGGGGAGCAGACAATTCTCCAGTATTACACCTTTCTGACTAATGGTTGAAAATGCCTAGATCATCTCTTGGATTACAAGCTTGTCTGTACAGTTAACTCAGTTGGTTAACAGAGGTTTCTTGCACAAGAGAGGGTCTTCAAGTTTCTAGAATACCTTAATGTAGAGTTTGATCCGATTTGGAGTTGTGTCCTTGGCATGGATGTCCTTCTATCTCTTCAAAAGGCCTTTGCATATGTACAGAATGAGGAGAGCCATCATTTTGCTATGTTACCACCAACTACTGGAGACCGTTCAGCATTACTTTCTACTTCTCGAGATGGCGTTGTTTTGTCACTATCTCTTTTCCATCCTTTAGGGAAGGATACTGTGTTCTGTGATTACTATCGCCAACTACAGCATACTCATGAGACATGTTAGAAGCTTCATGGGGCTCCATCAAAGAGTCGAGGTGATCGATCTCCTACTAGAGGCAGTCGATCAGGCCAGTCTAGAGGACGTGGCTCTAATTCACGTGCCCATCAATCTAGTAATGTTGACACCCTTGATTCTATTTCCGTTTCAGTTGGTCCAACTTCTGATAGTTTATCTAGCATGACTTCTCCTGAGCTTGAGAATCATTTTCTAGCCCACCGGTTTTTTACTGCTCCTAGTGCATCTTCCTCGTCGTTTGTCCGCTCAGATAACTTAGCCTCTTCTCCTAATGCTTTTCTTTCCCATAAATCTTTGCCATGGATTATTGATTCTGGTGCGTCAAATCATATGTCTAGGGCTTCTGACATTTTCTCAGCATATAAGCCCTCTTCAGGTCAAGACAAAGTTAGGATTGTAGATGGTACTATTTCTTCTATCTCTGAGAAAGGTTTAATTCATGTCACCCTTACCTTACCTCTATCTTCAGTGCTCCACGTTTCCAATTTTTCTATTAATCTTCTATCCTTGAGTCGTATTACCGAGGATTTAAACTATAGTGTGACATTTTTTTCCTAATCATTGTCTTTTTCAAGACCTTGTCACGAAGAGGACGATGGCAGTGATAATACAGAAAATGGTCTCTATCTCTTGGATCAACCAAACAATCTTGCTCATCATTCCATCCAGTTCTCAACCACTAAGGAGGATTTATGATTGTGGCATCGGCGTATTGGACATCCTTCTTTTCATTTACTTAGGCATTTATTTCAAATAATAATGTGTCTGAGTTTCTTTGTGAGTCTTTTCAACTTGACAAACAACACTGAGCTTCTTTTGCTCCAAGTCTTAATAAAAGTTTTGCTCATTTTTCTTTAATACATTCTGATATGTGAGATCCATCTCGTGTTGTGTCTTTAAAAGGCCATAGATGGCTTGTTACCTTTATCGATGATTTTTCTCGTACTACTTGGGTGTATCTCATAAAATAAAAAAATAAGGTTTTCTCTGTGTTTCAAAATTTCATAAAATAATTTGTACTCAGTTTAGGACAATTGTCAAAATCTTACATTCTGATAATGGAGGTGAATACATCGATTCGGCTTAGAGAGCAATTTTCCACTCATGGCATTATACCACTCAACAAAATGGGGCTGCATAGCGCAAATATCATCATCTTATTGATATGGCTAGCTGTATGTGTTTTTCTATGAGTGTGCCTCAGTCCTACTGGGGTGAGGCTGTTCTCCCCGTAGCCTATCTCATTAATCGTCTTCCTAACCAGGTTTTGCAAAAAAAACTCCACTTCAAGTCCTCGGTTCAAAGTCTTTTTTTCCATTCCCCTTAAAATATTTGGTTATGTCTGTTTTGTCCACAATCATTCTCCTACTCGTGGTAAGTTAGACCCTCGCTCTCTCCAGTGCATTTTTCCCGGATACTCGCTTACTCAAAAAGGGTACAAGTGTTATCACCCTCCTTCTCGTAAGTAGTTTGTGTCCATGGATGTCACCTTCTTCGCGTCCCAGTCCTACTTCTTGTCTTCTCTGGTGTCACAATCATCCCTTCAGGGAGAGCCTTGGTGTTAAAAGATTCTTGTTGTCCCTGTTACTCCTATGGTGGAACTAGTTGTTCCAGCACCACCGATTACTAGGCCTATAGAATCCAATGCCACCAAGGAGAGGGAAGGACAAGTTCATGTCGGGGACAGACAAACAGAAAGATACTTGGATACAAGAGACCACTTCTACTCACCTACTGCCATCTCCTGCTTCTGATAAGAGTCCAGGTAACTTTGAATCTCTTGTTTCTCTTGAGTCTACTAATATTGCTATTCCTAACACTATTGATCTTAATATTTCTATTGTCAAGAGAAAGGGTATGAGATCTTGTACTCAACATCCTATCTCAAACTTTGTGTCCTACTCTCATTTGTCTTCCTCGTATAGAACCATTATGTCAAATATTTCCTCTATTAGTACTCCTAACCATTTTCAGGATGCTCTCACTACCTCTGAATGGAAACTTGCTTGGGAATTAACTAAGTTACCTAAGGGCAAACAACCGGTGGGATGCAAATGGGTGTATACTGTGAAGCACAAAGCAGATGGTTCCATTAAGTGTTACAAGGCTCGACTTGTGGCAAAAGGTTTCACACAGAGCTATGGAGTAGATTATCAGGAGACTTTTGCACCAATAGCAAAGATGAATTCAGTCAGAATACTTCTCTTTAGCAGCTAACTTACATTGGCCACTTCATCAGTTTGATGTAAAGAATGCTTTCTGACATGGTGATCTAGAAGAAGAGGTATATATGGACATTTCTCCTGGTTTTGAGGATCATCAGACAGAGGGTAAAATATGCAGGCTTCGGAAGTCGTTATATAGTCTCAAACAGTCTCCAAGGGCTTGGTAAAGAGAGATTCACTCAAGTTATGCTTAAATATGGTTTCAAACAGGGTCAGGCAGATCACACTTTGTTTGTAAAACATTACTCACGTGGTAAGACTACAGCCCTCATCGTTTATGTGGATGACATAGTGCTTACAGGCGATGATAGTGAGAAAATACCCCTGTTGAAGAAATATTTAGCTAGCGAGTTTGAAATCAAAGACTTGGGGAACTTAAAGTATTTTCTGGGAATCGAAGTTGCTCGCTCCAAGGATGAGATTTTCATCTCACAAAGGAAATATGTTCTTGACCTTTTGAAGGAAATAGGGATACTTGGACGTAAGGCCTGTGATACCCTACTGGAACCTAATCACAAACTTGGTGACGATGAAGGAGTAGTTGTTGATAGGGGTAGTTATCAACGACCAGTGGATCAGTGTTATTAAAAGCGCGCCTAGGCGCAAAGCCTAGCCATGCCCACCCATTGCGCCTTGCAGTGGTCAAGGCGAGGCGATGTCACTAAGGCGCGATTAAAGCTCATGCTTCGAGCTAGGCGCAGTTAAGCCCAAGGCGCAGGCCTTGAGGGCTTTTTTTTTTTTTTTTCATACAGATTGGACCACCAAGAATTCAGGGTCAGCTACAGCAGATTATTTCCTTCAAATATGCTTGAAGATTTAGCCCAAATCAACGACGACGAAAAAAACATCGAGTCCTAATCCAAATCTCCAAAGAAGTTCTTCTCTTCCAATCATCTTCCAGCGCAGTCGTCTTCCAGTTCAGGATGCCCAGGTATGTTCTTCTCTTTGTTTCTTCATCTCTTCTTCTCCTTCTCTCCGTCTGTTCTCTTCGTCTGTTCGTCTGTTCTCTTCGTCTTCTTGGTCGTCTCTTCGTCTGCTTGTTCTTCGTCTTCTTCTGCTTCGTCTCGTCTACCTTGTTCGTCTGCCTTGTTCGTCTTCTTCTGTCTTCTTGGTCGTCTCTTCGTCTCGTCTCTTCGTCTGTTTTTTTTTTTTTTTAATTTTTTTTTTTGCCTTCTCCTCGTCTGTTTGAACCATTTTCTTTTTTTTTATTTTATTTTTTTTTAATTCTGAATTGCTCTGTTTAGATTTAATTTTAGCACAACTAAAATTAATTTCTAGTTGTGCTCTGTTTATGGTTCAATGATTTAATTTATTTAATTTCTTTACTTCTATGATTAATTTTTTATGGTTCAACTAAAATATACTAAAATTAATGGTTCAACTAAAATATACTAAAATTAATTTTTTTAATTCTGTTTATGGTTGTGCTCTGTTTATGGTTCAAAATTCAATTTAATTTCTAGTTGTGCTCTGTTTATGGTTCAACTAAAATATACTAAAATTAATTTTTTTAATTCTGAATTCTCTACTTCTATGATTTAGATGGCATCCGAAAGTACAAGAAAAGATCCTGCATGGAAATATGCACATCAGTTAGATCCTAAGAACCCAAATCAATTTAAGTGTAATTTTTGTGGTAAAGTATCTAATGGAGGGGTTTATAGAGTTAAACAACATCTTGTTGGAGGTTCAAGAAATGTCACAGTTTGTCAAAAATGTCCATTTGATGTAAGGGAAGAGATAAAAGAGTATATGGGAAACAAGAAAACACAGAAAGATCAAATGAACTTGTTGCCTCATTTTGATGAGATGAACAATGATTTTGAAGAGGATGAAGATGACATTGCTTATGAGATTCAGTGCCTCATGGATCAAGTGGTAAAGCATTGCCAAGCAATCAAAATAGTTCTTTTGCTGGATCAAAAAGATTGAAGAAGAAGGGGCCCATGGATGTATTCTACACACCCAATCCTGATTTTGTGTTGCAAAATAGAAAAGGAAAACAGACAACAATTGATCATAATGATCCTTATAAGAAAGAATTAAGAGACCGAGCAGTGATAAGAATCACAAGGTGGATGTATGATGCAGGTATAGCTTTTAATGCAGTTAGTCATGATAGCTTTGGACCAATGGTTGAAGCAATTGGGCAGTATGGTTCTGGTATGAAACCTCCCAGTTTCCATGAAGTGCGGGTTCCATATCTGAAGAAAGAGTTGAATCGTACAAATGAGTTGATGAGGATTCATAAAGAGGAATGGGTGAAATATGGGTGTTCCTTGATGTCAGATGGATGGACTTCGCAGAATGGAAAGACTTTGATTAATTTTTTAGTCAATTGTCCTAGAGGAACTATGTTTGTTGAGTCCATCGATGCTACAAGCTATTCAAAGGATGGGCAAAAACTCTTCGAACTACTTGATAAGTTTGTGGATGATGTTGGAGAAGTTAATGTAGTCCAAATTATCACAGATAGTGCCTCAGCTAATGTGTTAGCTGGTAATAATCTTTTGTCTTCTTGATTCTATATGTACTTACTAGCTAGTTAGTTAGTTAGTTTAGTTGTTATTAAATAATCTTCTGTGTTTTGCTTCTATAATTTTAATAGGTAAGTTTTTGAAGGCAAAGAGACCACACCTTTTTTGGACACCATGTGCGGCTCACTGCTTGGATTTGATACTGGAAGATATTTTCAAATTGCCACATATGAAGAAGACATTTGACAGGGCTATTCAGGTACACGGTTATATTTATAACCGTCCAGGTGTGTTGAATATGATGAGGATGTTTACACAGTTAAAGAATTTGGTCAAGCCTGCAAAGACAAGATTTGCAACAGCCTTTCTCACTCTATCTAGGATTCATCAACAAAAAAACTTGAGAAAGATGTTCACTTCGGAGGAATGGACAAGCTCCAAATGGGCAAAGGGGCCAAAGGGTAAACAAGCAACACAGATTATGTTGATGCCATCATTTTGGAATTTGGATGTCTATGCTCTTAAGGTCTCAGGTCCACTTGTGCATGTGCTTAGGTTGGTTGATTCTGAGAAAAAACCTGCCATGGGATACATTTATGAGGCTATGGATAGGGCTAAAGAAAGTATTGCAAAGTCATTTAATGAAAAAGAAGAAAAATACAAGAACATTTTTGAAATCATTGACAATAGGTGAAATATCCAATTGCATCAATGCAGCTGGCCATTTTTTGAATCCGGAGTTCTTCTATTCTAATCCAAGTATTGAGCATGATCCTGAAATCATGACAGGGTTGTATAACTATGTGTCAAGGTTGGTTCGAGGCACTGACATTCAAGATAAAATCACTCAAGAAATGAGTATTTATACAAAATTTGAAGGTCTCTTTGCGATGCCACTAGCAATTAGGCAGAGAATGACAAGGGCACCAGGTAATCCATTTTACACCATTAACTTTTTCATGCCTCTAGATTAAATCAAAAGTTTCTAGTTGTGCTAAAATTAGTTGCAATTCACAGCTGATTGGTGGTCTGCATATGGTTATTCAACCCCAAATTTGCAAAAGTTTGCCATAAAAGTTCTTAGCTTAACCTGTAGTGCATCTGGTTGTGAAAGAAATTGGAGTGTATTTGAGCATGTGAGCATCTACCTCAAGTTTGGTGAATTCCTTTTTTTTTTCCCTTCTCATATGGTAAATTTTAATACATTCTCTTTTTCTTGTAGCTCCACAACAAAAAAAGAAATAGGTTGGAACAACAACGTCTCAATGATTTGGTATTTATTAAGTACAATAGACAATTGAGACGTCGATATGATATGCGTGACACACTTGATCCCATCACTTTAACAAATATTGATGAAAGCAATGAGTGGTTGGTTGGGAGGATGGATGGAGAAGAGGATGAAGACAACGATAATGTGTTTGATGATGAAAGTTTGACGTGGGGTGATGTTGCTAGAGCTTCTGGTGTTCGGGAAAGAAATAAGAGAACTAGATCAACAACTTCAAAGACACCATCATCATCGAGGGCAAGGCCAAGGGGTTCTAGATCATCAAATGCATGTCAATTGATAGATGAGGAAGAGGCAGATTCAGAGGAGACAGAAGAGGAAGATGTAGAAGGATACAAATCCAATGATGAAGAAGAAGATTATGAATTGCGTGTTGTTGATATTGAGGATGATGATGATTGTTAGATCCTCATTGGATAAATGGAAGCAAAGACTTTATGTTTTGTTGGTTTAATTTGTTGATGTTTTGAAATGCATGCTTAAACTTGAAATATTGTTATTAGTTGACTTTTAGATCATGGATATTCGCGTTTTATGTTTTGAAATGCATGCTTACACTCATTTGTCTATGTTAAAATAGCGATATTTGTTGGTATTTATTTTTTTAAATGTTCAATATTACATTTTGTTTATGTTATACCAGTTAGTTATTTGCTTATATGTCTCATATTAAATTATATTATTTTAACTTGTCATGGTGCGCTTTACTTCGATAAAACATGCGCCTCGCCTTGCGCCTTGCGCCTAAGGCCTCAAGAGACCTTGGCGCCTTGGTGCGCTTATCGCTTTTAATAACACTGGTCACCACACAGCATTTAATTTATTCTCCACATGTTGCCTTTTTTTTTGTTTTTTTGTTTTTTGAAGATGGGAATCTGCTCTAAGTTTGAGCTGCAAAAACTGTCACTTTTCAACATTTTAGGGTTCGAGGATTTTAATGTAATTTCATGTAAAGATAAAACTGTAATAAATAAAAAAACAAATTAAGGTAGTAAGGAGACATTTTTATTGTGTAAATAGAAGCTGCCATATAATTGTGGTGATTTGAAATATATCTTTTGTATTTGAGTTTGAGTTTATTTCTTTCACAATATAGAGTTATTATTGAATCTTCATATTGCTGTTATTGCCGATATTGCTGATCTGTGCTGGTCTTGCTCTGCTTTAACTCTTTGCTGCTTGTTCTAATCTTGTGTTGGTTGAGTAATGCATCAGGAACTGATATGCTGGCTGTTTTGTTGGCTGTTCTGATCTGTATGGAACAGATTTGCTGGGGGTGTGTATAGAACAGATTTGCTGGTATTTCCAAATATTTAAAGCTAAATTAAGTATTAGGTTAGGTCCACCTACGTCTTATTTGCTGGGGGTGTGTAAATTACCATAGTCCACATGCTTAAATGTTTTGTGTGTTTGCAGCTGCCATCTGTGCTTCTGAGTTACATTTTTATGCTACTATTGCTTCTGAGTTGTGAGCAAATTATCTTACAAAAGCTTTTGTAACACAAGTTGTAATTTTTGGTTGATTGCCTTACTGGATGGATGGTGTGTTGGTCTAGTTGATAAGAACAAGGCTGTGTTAACGCGATTCAGAATTTAAAAAAAAAAAAATAAACAGCGCCTTAGCACCCAGTAGCCAAGCCAACCAAGCCGGCGCAGAAAATGGCGCGGCATGGCTCGCGTGACAACGAGGATGACACGTGCGTGATGGCTCAAACAGCGCGCACATGGTAGCGCGTGGGAAGAGCGCCTGGCGCATGGCAACGTTTGGCCGCCGCTGACGGTGTCATCTGGCGCATGCGGCTCACGCATCACCTTCCGGGGTGTTTTCTGGTTTAATTTTGGTACTGCTGGACTTCATTTTCCAAAATAAAAACGTTTGTGCTCTTAAAAATAACGTTTAATGAACATAAATTATGAGGTGTATTACACACTCTCTCTAATGAGAGTGGAAGTGTAGAAACCTGCACTTCTTCTTCCTCCTTAAGCCATCAAAAAATCAAAAACGAACCCAAATTAGGGTTTGATGTATCTCATCAAACGTAAATCCAAATCTAACAAATAATATATGGTTTCGAAGGTCTCGAAACAAGGATTCTAAATATGTAAGATTTGCAGACAAAAATTAAAGCATGTAAAACCATCATGCATGTAAAGTTTCGAAAAAATTATTAATTTTCATGCATATATCATGTATATATTTATATAAAATTATACACATATTTTAATGCATAAAATAAGCACGAAAATATCCATTAAAGCTCTAATACCAATGTTAATTCAGTATAATGCAGCGGGTAAAAAATTTCAGATCATACCTTAGGTGATAGAACCTGAAGCAAAGAATCTCGTGGGTAAATCACGTACTTCAAAAATACGAACAACGAACACCCAGCAGTGGAGTGATATCACAATATGAGTATCACCCACACAAATCACAGTGCAAAAAGCTTGATCGTTGTTTTAATGGAAGAGAGTCAATATAGAAAACATATACGTTGTTTCATTATCCCATATCCCATATATCGTATCAGATATATAGGCTAAGTATATCATCTATCCATATCAGTTGATATGATAGATATAGATATCATGAGTGGGTTATCCAAATAAGTTTTGAATTCAAATTCAAACTTACATGGATAAGGTTCAAAAGGGTCATGGGTCATGCCACATGGGAGCCCAATTTCTAACACTTATAAATTGAGAGCATTGCCTCAATTCCTTATACGCACATTTCAGCAGCCCAGTGAGAGGATGAGAGAATGAGAGTGTGATTAGGGGGAAGTAGAGAAGAAAAGAGAAAATAAAAAATAAAAAATAAAAAAGGAAGAAAAGGTGTCTTTTTGAGTCAAGGTAAGAATACATCTTTTCCTTATCTTCTCCAATTCTTTCACCCATCTCATCCTATTGTCTAGTATGCCCTCTTGTGTTGTAAATTAATGGTCAATAGGGTTTTTGGTGTGTATGAAAGTGTGGGTATAATCTAGTGAATTTGTCTTGCAAATTTGTCAAGTTATGCATTGCTACAACTTCTCTGATTTAAAATAAATATCAAATTTATTTATTTCTCAAATTTGAGTTCAGTGTAGGATATTTGGTGTGTTTAGAGCTTGTGGTAATTTTATTTTCCCCTCATTGTGTGTTTTTAGGGCTTGGATATTTTGTTTAAAATCCTAGTCCTGATTCTCTGAAAAACAGTCCACTTCTTGCAATTTTATAAAATTCCAGAAAAATCATCTCATGTTGGTTCTTCTGTCAAAATTTAGAATTCTGAGTCCTCTTTCCAACAGAATTTATTTGGGTGAAAATCATCGGGTAGATTGAGAGGAAATACGTTGCCCTGTTCAAAGTTAAAACCATTTCCCTTCGTAAGTGATCGTCAAATCATTTGAAGTCGAAATGAGTGGGTAAGGGTTGAACCTAAGCTCTGATACCATTCTGTAACGCCCCAACTTTTGGGCCGTTAAATAAGTACAATAACACAACACAAGTAGGATAAATAACCAAAATATCTTAATATACATATATAACTAGAGTTAATATCGCAGATCATTCGTTTATGTTCCATTACAAGATTACAAAACATTGCCAAACCAAAAGTTAAAAGGAAAAAACAAACAACTAGTTTAAGTCTTCAAATGAACCATAACTCCAACACTTCATCTTGTTTGCCTTCGAAATAACCTTCACCATTGTAAATTGCTTCATCACCTGGCATGACATGCCATGAGCTTGGAATGTCCAGTAAGAACGCACACACCCTCCTACCTTCTAACAACTAATCAACCATATGTAGAACAAATCGAGTAACACATAATACAATACTCCAATAAGGTTCCCTGGATTAGTAGTTAGACTAGACATCTAGAACCCCCAAAGAGATCCTTCCTCCCAACCACAAGGATTGGACACTGGACTATTCAGAATTTCCCATTTTGCTGCTTTGTAGACCTTACCACCAACGCCCACATCAATTATATATCGGGCAGTGACACCGATGGACCTTAAAAGGAATGGCCAAACAAATGGGCTCGCTTACACCCAAATCGTGCCTAGGGCTCGCTTACACCCTGTACATACCATACCAAATCATGCCTAGGACTCAGTTACACCCTACACATACCATACCAAAGGGCTCGCTTACACCCAGAAACCACCGCATAGAGTCTGAATACATCCGTGCCATCCTAGGGGTTCGCTTAGATCGTTTACGCAAGACTTAACATTACCAACCCCTTTTCATTTACCGTTTGTTGGATATTTTGATAAGTGAGTTAGCCACATTCGATAATTTGGTAATATAAAAGAGCAAGAGGCAAACATAAGAGAGGAAATATAGCCCATGATAATCATACATAAGTATGGTAAGGCAAGCAAACAACATTATGCATGCTTTGAAATACTTAGAGACAAATAACACAATAAAACACCATTTCCAACACCGTCCAGTTCTGCAGGGTTAACAAGAATGCTTTGGTAAAAATACTTCCAGGTCATATTAGGGGCTGAAATTGCACCGAAACAATAATCAACCTGTCTAGTTCAGTTCTAATTCTCATAATTTGCACGGCACCTCCAAAAATTCATTTACAAGCTATATTCGAAAACCTGTCCAGATTTGTCACCCTTTGGGAAAACTAGCTTTCCTCTCAATCTACCCAATCATTTTCGCCCAAATAAATTCTGTTGGAAAGAGGACTCAGAATTTTAAATTTTGACAGAAGAACCAACATGAGATGATTTTTCTGGAATTTTATAAAATTGCAAGAAGTGGACTGTTTTTCAGAGACTTAGAACCAGATTTTTAAACAAAATATCCAAGCCCTAAAAACACACAATGAGGGGAAAATAAAATTACCACAAGCTCTAAACACACCAAATATCCTACACTGAACTCAAATTTGAGAAATAAATAAATTTGATATTTATTTTAAATCAGAGAAGTTGTAGCAATGCATAACTTGACAAATTTGCAAGACAAATTCACTAGATTATACCCACACTTTCATACACACCAAAAACCCTATGTACCATTAATATGCAACACAAGAGGACATACTAGACAATAGGATGAGATGCGTGAAGAATTGGAGAAGATAAGGGAGAGATGTGTTCTTACCTTGATTCAAGAAAGCACATTTTCTTCTTCTTTTTCTTCTTCTTCTTCTTCTTCTTCTTCTCTCTCTCTCTCTTCTTCTCTACTTTCCCCTAATCACACTATCCCTCTCCCAACCTCTCCCTGGGCTACTGAAATGTGCGTATAAGGAATTGAGGCAATGCTCTCAATTCATGGGAAATGAGCCTCTAGCTTGATGACTAAGGAAGGAAATAAATATCTAGATATTTTCTCCACTAATTTGCTCAAATAAATATTAAAATAATAATAAAAATATTTATTTAAAGATATTTATAGATATTTACTTGCTCAAATAAATAATAAAGATTCAAAGAACTAATAAATATTCAAATAGGCTAAAAAAAATAAAATATATGAATTAATGTAGAGACTAAGGATTAA